GCTGATCTCACCAGAGATCAGAGCTTTGCGGTCCAGAGCATTACAGCTGCCGTACCAGGTGGTGATGCAGCCAGTCAGAATACTCTAAGGTGCTATTGAAGGTGAAGGTGGTATTGTACAGAGAGAACAAAGAGCTCACCTGAAAGTGCACAGATTATTGGCAGTAAGAAGGAGTAACTATAAATTACCATAAATTAACTTTGCACTTCATTCGTACAGTTCTATCACATGCACTTAACCAAGGAGCAACCAAGAGTATATAAAGGCTGCAGAATGTTCCATTTGTCTCTTTATACTTGACCTGTTTCTTCTCACTGACTATGAACTTTCTTGAAGATCAAATCCATCCGTTGGTATGAATCATCATCCTGTGCCAGCAGCACTGTAGATTTAAGTTTATTTGTAGTTATGTGAATGTGAATATGTTGGGTTTAAAAGGGCATTTTAACAACATACTACAGCTACCAACAATGGAAATGCTGTTTTTGTGTTAAAATGGCGTCTTTCTTGTGTTATTGCTTTGCAGGGCAGTGTCTTTAGCAATCCTGGAACAGCTGAGAGTGGACAGAGCTGCACAGAGGACCAAAGATCCACTCTCCGCACTTGATATCTGACCAGCCCCTGCACCACCCTGCTTCAGCCAACTTCTCATCTTTTTAAGATTAGGCTTAAAACTTTCCTTTTTGCTAAAGCATATAGTTAGGGCTTATTACGGTCTCTGACCTCTAGTGGCTCTCCCTCTGTGGAAGAGTTTTTTTTCTCCTTTTTCTTGTGTTGCAGGTCTGCCTCATGAGCCACAGCTGAGGTGTGTTCCAGCTCGTCAGCCACGGCATATAGTCTGCCATCCTAAACTGCCACACCCCTGCCACTTCCCCCATTTTTGCCAGAGATGTGAGCCACTCACTGAGTGAGTGAGAGAGTGAGTGAGAGAGACAGACCTTAAACTCCGTGAAACTTTGGTTTTCTTTCTTTTATTGTAAGCAAAGGTGTGCCCTTACTTTGTTAATTAGTTCATCGTTGTGGAAGCAGGTAGGGGTTCTCTGCCATTTTTGTTTCAACTGTTTTCTCCTGTTTTGGTTAGACAGGGAGCTCAGCCATTGTATTTTGTTTTGGTTAGAGAGTACTTGGTTTGATTTTTAGCTAAAGGGGGTGTTTTGTTTGTTGTTTTGGCCTTGGAGACCCTGAAGAAGAGAGCTTCCCTGTGTTTATTTTTATTGTAGTAATTTCGGGCAATAAATCATGTTTAATGACATCTATTCTCCAGTAGTTCATGTTTTCTCTTTCACTTTGTGTTACCCCTCACCCCAGTCAACACTTCGTTTTTAAGTGGGGCGTAACGACCAGGTGATGCTGAATCCACCCTTAGTTATGCTGCAATAGACGTAGGCTGCCAGGGATTCCCATGATGCATTGAGTTTTTCCTTTCCAGTCGCCAGTTTCTCACTCACTATGTGTTAATAGACCTCTCTGCATTGAATCATATCTGTTATTAGGGCTGGGCCATATTATACCGTTCACGGTAATACCGGTATAATGTTAGGCAACGATAGGAAAATGAAATATCGCGATAGAACATGAGTAAAACGCGCATGCGCAGTGCCTTTGTTTTCATACGCACATGGCCGATTGTTGAGTGAAACAGATGAACCAGAATTGGTTTGTAAAAATGGTGCAACTTCCGTGATGTGGAACTGGTTTGGTGTTTGTCCGTCAGATACACGACAAAGCACATTTTTTTTGCAGAACATGCAAGCGGCCGTCGGACTAAGATGCCCTTAAATCTGGGAGTAATCTGGGTCCTAAACTCCGTATACTTCAGGTCAAACGAACACTGCAGCATCACTAAGAGTTAAAAACTGTCTAAATTCTTTCATCTTTAATAAAACGATCAGCATTGCTGCTTTACCAGGTGTAACTATGAAGTTTAACTTCCAGGCATCCATGAAAACAAAATTTATTACATTTAACGGAGTTAGAAGCTAGCAGGAAGCTAGCGGAAGTTAGCTCGCTAGTTTCGCTAGTTACCTAAGCATGATATAGCATGTTCTGACTGAGAGATTTCTGAAAAAAATCAAACGTACAGCTCTGCTATCACTTCCAACATAAATGAAGACAGGAAACTAAACAGCAGTGACGTTTGTAGGGTTACTGAAGTTGGGCTAGCTGGTATATAATTATGTGCTACGTGATCGCTAGCGACACAGCTATGTTAGCATAACATAAACAGTGAAGCTGGAGGACAAACACTAACACTTTTCCACTTATAAAAGTTAACGTTATGGTTAGAGACAAATGCAATCGCATGGCAGGATGCTGTAAAAGGACCAATCTTCAGTCAGGAGAACAACTGAGATAATCCATCCACAATACGAGGTTAGTCATTAATATACTGCAACAACATGGGAATAGAGCAGCTGCCAGAGAATTCAACATTAATGAATCAATGGTACAGAAGTGGAGGAAGCAAGAAGAATGAGTTTAATAAAGTTTGATTTATCTGACTGCTTTGTTTCGCTTAATGTGCCTTATAATCCCGTGCACCTTATGGTCCGAAAAATACGTACTGCACACTGCAGTTTAATGTTGCAAAGCACCTCTTTTTAACTTCAGTGGATATTATACATGGTTATGCTCAGGATATGTCAGCCCATTTCTACTGGAAATGCCTTTTGGTTAAACTTTCAGCAAGGAATTTGCATTTGCACTGTTACATTTTTATAAAGCTTTAATGTACATAAAAACCAGCTTCTTGTTTAAGTGAAAATAAATGATAGGTTGTCTTTTTGCGCTAGTAATGTTGTGGAGTTGTATTTTGTCTCGCATCAATTATATCGTCAGTTATATCGTTATCGCAAATTTTCAAATATATATCGTGATAAATATTTTTGGCCATATCGCCCTGCTCTATCTGTTATTAATCTCTGTCTCTCTTCCACAGCATGTCTTTATCCTGTCTTCCTTCTCTCACCCCAACCGGTCGCAGCAGATGGCCCCGCCCCTCCCTGAGCCTGGTTCTGCTGGAGTTTTCTTCCTGTTCAAAGGGAGTTTTTCCTTCCCACTGTCGCCAAAGTGCTTGCTCATAAGGGGTCATATGATTGTTGAGTCTTTCTCGGTATCTATTATTGTATGATCTACTGTACAATACAAAGCGCCTTGAGGTGACTGCTGTTGTGATTTGGCGCTATATAAATAAAATTGAATTCTCAATATGTGAAAATTTGGTTTCAAGTAAAGGTCAAGCCATTTTATTAGGGAAGAAAATCATAAAATATAGAGTTTATTGCACAACAACAAGGAAAAAAAATACAAGAAACATCGGAAATAAATCATTTTAACAAGTACTATCAATCCTTTCACTATTAAGAAAAACTCACTGCATGTTTAGACCCTGATGGATCAGTTTTTTTGTGAGCCGAGTGAAAGGAATAAACTCATATTTGGTAAGACAACATATATAATATAAGTAACATAAACAGTAACAGTAACAGAAGCACAGCGGGTAGACAAACATACATAAGGATGCTCATTTTACAGACTTCATGATACAGGCCTACAGCTTGTGGAATAGTGCACTCCATGTTAAAAAAAATGTAAATATTTTCTAATAGCTCTGTGAATGATATATATACACATTTATCTGTACCTGTGAGGTTGTGTTGCATTCTGAGGTTCTTCCATAGTTTGGTTTGAAGGCCCTACACAGTGTCTGGTCAGGTGATCATAATCCTCTGCAAAAGTGCCTTTTAAAAAGAAAACAACCCTCTAAGTCAGGGGTGGGGAACTTCAGGCCTCAAGGGCCGGTGTCCTGCAGGTTTTAGATCTCACCCTGGGTCCACAAACCTGAAATTATTAGTTCATTAACAGGCCTCTGGAGAACTTCAAGACATGTTGAGGACATAATTTAGCCATTTAAATCAGCTGTTGGATCAAGAACACATCTAAAACCTGCAGGACACCACCCATTGAAGCCTGGAGTTCCCCCACCCCTGCAAAGTCAAGAAAGGCAGTGGCTATAGTATGGTGTCCATTCAGATGGAAGACATGATCTTATTTATGTCACCCCACAGTTTTAAAATCACAAAGTATTTCTTTTCACGGAATGGCTCTCTTCCACAGTTTTTTCTTTTTGTTCCGTCATCCTCCCCTCACCCTGAACCAACTCAAGGGTTTGCATGATGGATATTTCTTCCTGTTAAAAGGGAGTTTTTCCTTCTCACTGTCACCATTTGATTGTTGGGTTTTCTCTGTATTAACGTGGGGTGTTAACTTACAGTACAAAGTACCTTGAGCCGAATGTTGTTGTGATTTGGCGCTACATCAATAAAAATGAATGAGATCGGCATGTATGTGATTTGATAGAATCTGAGTTGCTTAGATAAAAGTTATAATCATAGACATAGGCTATGTTCACACTGCAGGTCTTAATGCTCAATTCCGATTTTTTGATCAAATCCGATTTTTTTGTCTGCTTGTTCACACTATAAATAAAATGCGACAGCAAACGCGCTCTAGTGTGAACGCTCAAAGCAGCCCGCATGCGCAAAAGAAGACGTCACACACAATGCGCTCTGTTTAGACCCAGAGCAAACTATATTGTTTGACTGATGGCCCTTAATATAAAGACTTCCGACTTTACGTTTCCCAATTTTTGCTTTAAGTTATTTTGTTATTTACATAATAATGTAAATAACCTAATAATTATCCTTATTGCTGTTTTAGAGGAGCGGTGCTTCAAAGGATAGTTGCAGATTTCTGTCAGAATCTGCAGATTATGCAGTACAAATAAAATGTTAACGTTTCTCCAACGTTGTCTTCCCAGCAGTTTCACCGGATGGCCAGGAAGCGTTCGCGATGTCTTCTCGGGCGCTGATAATTGGCGTCTGTCTTGTGTCAGTGATGTAAAAGACGGATTTAATGCGACTTGACCATTCACACAGCAGTCGCTTTCTGAAACATCGGATATGTATCGGATTCAGTACCACATACGAAAGTGACCCAGATCGGATTTGAAAATATCGGATTTGTGCCGTTCACACTGTCATACCATGATTGGATATGGGTCGCATAGGGTCAAAAAAATCGGATTTGATGCGCTTTCACCTGCAGTGTGAACGTAGCCTTAGAAGCAATCAAAGTGCTGCAATGATAGCAAGTGTTGTTCTGTGCAAATGTTTGAGGCACTTGGATCTTTTGATTGTTTTCCATCGCACAGTACCACAAGGCTCATGATTAGTCCCAGTTTTCCTCTGGAGCACATCACTGATCCTAAATATTTGACAAAAGTCACAAAGAGCTGTCTCCAGCAGCAAGATAAACAGCCAGTATGGTTTCCACAGAGTCTTAATGTCAACATAACAGAATCATTCAAGGATGATAAGACAGAACTCAGGCTAAACAAACAAGAAGTGGGACAACCTGCCCGTTGAGTACCTTAAGAAATTGTACATCCATATTTATCATGCTACAACTTTTTCCAACAGAATTCTGTAAGCATTTTTTTAACATATGAAACTATTCCTTCATTTAATTTAAGATTAATGCAAAACAACGTTTAATTTATCTGAAGCTGAGGTCACTTCTGCAGGTTTAATTGAAAAAAATGCCCAGAGGTTTCCCATGTCACATTAGTATAACTGATAATGGAAAAAAATAACCTTTGACTCCTATAAATGTACAACCCTATGAAAATAACATCAAACGCAAAGGGAGGAGAAACCAATGAATATTTCTCTGCTGCTGATTTAGAATCTGTGGGAAACACTGTCGCACATGTTTCCAGTCAAATGATTTCTACAAACACGCTGAAGTTTATGGTTCTTCTTTTTATACTCCATTGCTCAGTAAATCTGTGAATATGGCTTTTTCTCAGTAAACATATGTCACAGGGGCAAAAACACAAAAAATGTTCAAAAATATTACAAAATATGAGCATATTTATAATTGTATGTTAACTCATAGTAACTCATCCATGTCTTACTGGAACACAAATACCACCTGATATTACAACAAGGTCAGCACACTGTAAAAGTTATTTTAACCCCATATTTAAATTAAATTTTAAAAAAGTAAACATTCCTGTTAAAACTAATAAATTTTTGTAATTAAAAGTAAAAAGAAAATGTAAAAAAAAAATTGTCCTTTTAAATTTGATGCCAGCAACACAAAGTCAAGACTGAGGAATATTTATCACGGTTTTCCAGACCTGTTGCTCTATAATCAAATATTCTCTCATTTTTTGGGACACATCATATAACCTGTTCAACAGTGCTCATGTGGTCTGGCAGTGTCTTACTTAAAGGTAGAGTGTGTAAAATCTCACCACCAGATGTCAGTAAATTGCAGTCAACTGAGCTCTGATTACTTATCATCTCAATTCAAGTGTAATAATTCCAGCTACGGTGCCTGCTGGTGGACAAACACTTTTCACTTAGCAATAAATCGGGAATTAAACAATGAATATGTGTTTTGCAGTTTTGCAGTACTTTTTTTGACACACGAATCACCTCTGACCACAGCCGTTCGACATTTAGCTATCAATATGCTGTTTGCTCTGGTAGATGCTGTAAAATTTAGTGAAAGGACTACGATTCGAGCCGATAAGTCAGTGAAGCGAACCTCAGTGAGCTGCTGATAAGCACCGCTGTTTTTACCATTGTTAGCTGCTGTTAGCTGGCATTATGTTGGACTTGGACACCTAGCAAGTAAACTCTGATACAATGGGATACTCTGAAACAAAGTGTTTATCACAGGGAAAGTGACAAACACTTTCCTAACATTAGCTGGCCTAATGTTAACTTGTAAATAGCAGTTGTTGTTTAGCTGGCTTGTTGGTAACAATAAGTAATTGTGACAATATCGTAAATTAGCATGATTATGCACATTAGAAGTTCTAATTTAGAACCCTAACTTCAGTTCAGGAGATGAGGTTAAGGTAAGAAGGAACAGGATAAGCTAGAAATGAGTGAGGAGAGGTAAAGAAAAAGACAAAATGATAAAAATGTACATGTTCAAATGTTAAATAGTCAGATATAGTTTGAAGGAACTGTAAAATACAAAGTTGTAAGGTGTATTATGTATTTGGCCGGTCTATAGTCATGTACGTGAAACACAATTAGGTGGAACGGTGATGTCCAACTCAGCTACTGTACTGTAGATGGTGGGCAACATGGTGCCTTGCATGTATCAGCCAACAATAATGGTGCTTTCACAGATGTGGAAATCACCCATGATAATGGCTTATTATGGACCAGAAATTCTTTCCCATTTCTGAGAAACTGTTTTCTTATTTAAATATTTGCTCAAACAGTCTTTCACAATGTGATGAACCCCTGGTCTATGGCCTGTTACCAGTTAGCTAATTAGCTGTGGGAACCAAGTGATTTTCAGCACTACACAACTTTTGCAGTCTTTTAAAGCTAGCATAAAATCCAACTTGAGGGTATATTTTCAATTTGCTGAAAGCATCAGTTTATATATATGTATATGTGTATATTTATTAACCTGTGTGTGTATCTGGTTTAAATGATGACACATGGGCTTTTATGTAATAAAGTACACTGTAAAAAACATGCATGCTGTTAAAAAAATTATGCAATTCTGCCACTCAACCCGGCAGTTATCAAAGAGAATATTACAGTCAAAGAGAATTACACAGAAAAGTGCCATTTCCTCACCACTCACTCATATCGATTGGCAGAGCGAACAGCCCTTTCCTCCAGAAGATAAATGAGACGTCCTGGAAAAACATGGGGGCATAGTTAGCTTCCCTCATGAGGACAGATGACAAGAGTTGAGTCCAGATCCAAACGGAAGGCGGGGTATAGTGGCTGAGAGAACGAACAATGGAAAGTGTGCAGGAGCACCATGGAGTCCGAGATGCTGTAAAAGGACAAAGCTCCTTTCTGGCGCTCCAGAAACACGCCGATCCTGGGGGAGGGCGGTGCAGCGACCGTGGTCTTGCGGTTATCGTGCCATGCAGCATATCCAGCATGACTACACCTCAGCCGCCAAGAGTGCTCGTTGCGCCCAAGCAGGCAGGGCTTCCCGCCACCTTTGCGCCCGATCCCACGGTAGGTGACGCCTATGTCAATCCACCCACCTCCTCTCCACTCCACCTCCCAGTAGCTGGCACCGCCAAACTGGCCCTCCCTGCACAGGACTTGCGCCACTGAGTCAAAGCGCTGTGGATGAGGCTGGTAGGGCTGTGGCTCCTCGCCACAATGAGCACCCTGGGGCCCCTCCAGGAGAACCAAGGTAGGATGAGCTGTCTCGGGGTCAAAGGTCAAATGGCACGAAACTAGAGCAAGGAAACAGAAAGAAAAAAAACTAACAGTTAAACACCAAAAAGGCTCTGAATGAAACAGTTGGATTGCAAATGTAGCTCACTAAGGATTTATGACTGATTGAAATTGAAACTCGTCAGGTGGCCATAACACTACAGAAAACTTTTCTGTTAAGCAGAGGAGTGGGTGTTTGAGGGTAACTGATGCATAAAACTTTAAATTCTGAAATGTGAAGACAATTTAAACGTTCTATAGAAGTCTGGAAGTAAAGGTGTCTCAGGTCTGACCTTTGTAAACAACTTCCTGATGAGCAATTCATTTCAGTTTCATCTTAAAAATTTTGGGCATTCTGTTTATTAGAAAGAGAGATATTTTCATTAGCTAACAACCTGTGATTGACAAGTCCCTAGCCAATGAGAACAGTTTCACTGTAAGATCCATCGCTTGCTGATCAAATGTGTTTTCAAAACTCCAAGATGGTCATGATGCCATACCAACCAGCTGCATTCTAATTCTCCCCACTCTCCATTTGATTTTCCTCCTCTTATAAAGTCAGAATAAAGTTGGCATCAGGAGAAAACTTGCTATTATCTTCCTAATTTAGCAGAGAACTGAACCAGCTGTTGTCTACTCTGTCAGGTTGTAGAGGTTTTCCCACTGACGTTTAAGCCTTGCAGTATTTCAGTTTACTTTTTGGCACAGTGGACACAAACGACACACAGACACTGACCAAATGAATTATTAAACCCTGACAAGGTGCTGGTAATGCTGTCATTGTGTCAGCAGGCTCAGTCGTGTTGGAACATGGTGCTGATCTTAATGATAGACCAGGAAGTCATAAATACAGTATGATGTCCATCCATCATTAATGAGCATCTAGACTGAGGTTTCAGATTTCCCAGCAGGATTCTTATTATCTGGTCAAGTAGGAGGACGCAGAACAAGCAAAGACTGGGGGAAAAGAGGTGACAAAGCAGAGAAAGATGGGTAATGACAATTAGGGTGCTTGCTCTCAATGGGTGTACCAGGGACTAAAAAAGGCACTAAAAAAGGAAAAAAGCATGCTTCTCAGTCACACTTAAGGGAAAAAAGATGATATACTTACACCTGAGGAAAGCTGCCCTCATCCTCTGATCAGGCGCCTGCAGAGACAGAGACGACAGCGGGAACGACACTGGTGCTGCTTGAACGAGACAAGAAAACAGAAAAGTGCCTGCTGAACAAAACTGTATCAATAAAACATTTTTTATCTTCTTTTGCTTAAGCTGTAGAGGGATGATGAGCAAAATGTTGAATGATTTTTGAATAGCACGTTGGGAACACCACAAAAGTTTTCAAGTTAACAAATGGAAACATTTCTTTGTATTTTAAACCAGCTTAAACAGAAATAGGAAACATGTTTACATGCAGTTTAGTAACTTAGAGGCAGCGTTTTCATGCTGTTGGCCCTTTATCGTGATGGCTGACCGTCGCTGTCCAAGGTTCGGCAGTACCAAGAGTGGGTGGCTTGGTTGGAAGGTAGTTATTGAACACATAACTTAACCTTTACTGGCATTTATTAAATTTGTAACATGTTAATAATGAACACACCATGATTAGGTTGACTCTGGGACTCGCATTTTTGATTTCTGAACAAACAGAATCAGACTGTAACCATGTTAGAGGTTCTGTAAGGCGGTACAATCTAAGAATTTAATGAAAATCGAATTAAGCGTTGCAGGACGGTCTGCACTGCTAAACTCTATACACTACCTTGTACTTATTTAAACTTATGTAATGTTGTGCACTTTAAAAGCCCCTTTAAAAGCCCCTTTCTAGTTTTATTGATTCCAAAAGCACAACACATTCACACAGCACTTATTGTACCCTTCAAGCAGGGTTCAAACAGCGCAATCCAACCTACCACCATGCCACCTCGTAGCATGGTGATGGAATGGTAAGTCATTAAAATCCCCACTGTGATACATTTTCTTTTGTTATGAATCTCATGCAGACCTTCTCTGTAATGCAGTGACACTGGAGATAAGACTTGTAATGTCGCTTTCCTTGAATCATGATTTGGTTACTTGTTGGTAAATTACTGTTGTTGTCATGAGAGTAAGCCTCTTATCACACGTCAGTTCACAGGTACCTGGGCTATAATTGTATTTCTCTGATGCACTGAGTAAAACAAGACAAGTCCCTTGATATTCAAGAGGAGGCAACAGAAATCTCCCAAACTGGGGAGCGCACACCAAAGCACCAAAGCAGTGCATTTCAGTTCAGTATTCAGTATTATTATTATTATTCATATATTATATTATTCATATAGCACCAATTCACAGCAACAGTCTCCTCCCAGAGAGAACCCCCCAATTAAGGCGATCCCCTATGAGGAAACGCTTGGCAACAATGGGAAAGGAAAATTCACTTTTAACAGAAAGAGACGTCCAACAGAACCAGGATCCGGGAGAGGCAGGATCTCATGTCATTTGGATATATCATATTTATTATATCAAATTATAGTCATGTGAAAAGAAACATTTCATATGACACTATGCAGCCTGGTGAAAAACTAAGTGCATGCTTATTGTTTCTATAGTGATAGTGAGTAGCAGCCAGGCGCTGCTAATCAAATCACTTGATTTGCTGATCATCAGCAAATGTGAGCAGATTTTAAAGGCATAGTTAGCATGTTAAAAGTTTATGACAGCACAATTAGAAAAAATACTGAACAAGACTTTTTATTTGAAAAGGTTTTTGAGAGAAAACCTCTTTTCTCTGAAAAACATGGCAGCACAGTAAAGCTGCATTTGAACAAACTACAAGACTTGTGGATAGATGAGACCACACAGTTTGGCCAAAATGCACAGCACCACATTTGGAGGAAAACACCCCACACTAACTGCCAGGCATGGGGGTGGAGGTGTGATGATTTGGGCTCATTTTGCAGCCACTGGACCCGAGCACCTCGCAGTCTCCACTTTATACCAAAGTAAACTGAAGTGAGATCATGTTCAGCAGCTTCAAAATAAAAGAATCAGGATGTTTTGATGGCCAAGTCGACCTGACTGAAATACTGTGTAATGAACTGAAGCAACATTGTGAAGAAGAGTGAGCCAAAATTCCTCCAGAAAAATGTGAGAGACTGTTTTTGTACACAAAGTAAGTATTACTACATTACATTATATTACATTATCTTTTTGCCACTTACCCCTGGTTGCATGTTGCCCTGTAGACAGTTGCACTTGCTGAGGTTTGGAGTTCACCGCACTGTGAATTCGACCACCTCCCCAATACAACAGATATGAATGGTATGAATGATATTTGGTTTGAAATAATGTCACAACAAACAACATGCCACTCAGTCAAATTCACAAATTTGGAGAGTTTCCATTAAAAGAAAGAAAGAAAGAAAGAAAGATCCCCTCTGAGCACATAAAACCCCCACAAAAACCCAATTTAACCTCCTAGGACCCGGCGTCCACATATGTTGACTACACATTTTGGGTTGTCTAGACCAAAATACCAAATTTTGCTCTATAAGGGCCTGATATCCACTGACGAGGACGTTACACTGCCACTGTTCTATCGAAATTTAATGTGAATGTCCTCACATGTGAAACTCATTTTTCTCAGAAACAAAAATCAGGTAAAAAAAATAAAATAAAAAAATAATCACGTAATTCTTTGTTTTTACATTCATCAGGTCCAAATCAGCCCAAATAGCAAAGAGAAATTAAAAATGCTGGAAGAGTTTGGGTCTTAGGAGGTTAAAAAAGCTCTTAGGAAAAAAATATAAAAAATGAATTAATAACAAATCTGCAGTTATGCCGGCAACTTTTTGAGGCTGCAGTTACAGCAGTGCTTTGAGAAAAATGCTATCAGCAACATGGTAACATGCAGTGTCCACTATCTCAGCGTGCTAACATGCTTATAAAAAGGTGAAAGGATGGGACGATAAAATGTCCGAAGTTTGTCCATAAACAGCTGCAACGTATTTAACACACTGAATTTTAATGTAATGGTTTTGCTGCAAGAAAACTGTTTCACACTTTTTACAGCAATGAAATATTTTCTATAATATGTAGACTACTGCAGAAAGTGCTCACACTGATGGATCCACACTACAATCCCTTAATCACATCACGTCTTAATTAGCTCCACTATCTTTGTGCTAACCCCCTAATATAATGTGGACGGTGCTGCTTCAAATGACACCAAAATGAACAGATTAGAATGGAGAGGAACTCATCCTGGTCCTCTTCAGCATCAATGATTAACAATTCCACTCGGTGTTAAATGTCATGGAAAACCTGGTAAAAACGGGTCACCCTGAGCTTTGACTGTGCATGTTTGTGTGTGTCGTGTTTGTTGTGCTTACTTTTTACATGCTCTCCACCAGATTTGTAGTTATCATTAACTGGAAGAGAAATAATAACAAAAATAATAATAATAATACAGTGCACATACAGCTTATATATGTATATGAATCCATAAATGGACTTGTGATATGATCCGAATATAGACCATGGGAAGGGATGGGAATCGAGAACCGGTTCTCTACAAAAACCGGTTCCCAGTAGGCCAGTTCCTTGGAATATTCCTGCCTATCGATTCCTCTTGCACTCTTGCTACGACCAGCTGATTTCAGTTCGTGTGTCGGAGGAGGAAAATAGTGGCGCAGTCTTTGGCGTGGATATGGCCATTACATTACAACTTTGGCTCTTAGCAAGCACCTGCAAAGACAGAATGCCAACGCTAACCTAACCAAGAGACCAGATTGACGTTAAAGCTGAGTAAATGCTGACCAAGTCCAGCACTGTGATAAAATGAGCCATCATTTGCTGTGAAGTCAGCCGCTGCTGAACTTCAACAGGTAACAAACTGATGAGCAGTCAGGCTGCAGCCCGTGTTTCTACCTGTCCACATTTCTAAAGTAGAACTCCTGTGTCGACCGCTTTAAAGTCTCTTTGTGCTGGTTTTCATCTTTGATTTGTGCTGTCAGCTCTGTGTTGACACCAAAATACTAAGAGTCACGTGTGTGCTCATCAGGACAGGGATCTGTGTTGGTGTGTGGGGCTGTAGGTTTATATTGTTGACAGTGTTTCAGGTCATTTTACAAAGTAACATGAAAGGAACGTAATGAGTAGTATAACAAATGTCTTTCTCCTGGGTGTAATTAAGTAACGTACGTTGTTACTTTTTAGAAAATTGCTCTGTGTAATATCTGCAATAACTTTTTTTATTTACTTTTTTGAGTAATGACGCCAACACTGATCACAACAAAGAGGAGAAATACCTCCAACATGCACAAACATTTGACCACTCGCCATGCTATTAATTCCCGTGAATGTAATGGTAATGTGATATTCTCATTGAGAGCCATTGAGAATTGATAAGTCATATTGATAATGAATTGCTAAATTCTTATCAATTCCCATCCTTAACTGTGAGTCGGTGTTAGCATCTTTGAAGCTCATCCTGAGTCCAGGTGGTGCTACCTACCTGCGGGGGTGATCTTGTCGACCTCCTCCCTGCAGACCTCCTCTATGTGGCTACGGAGGTGGCCCAGTGCTCTCCTGGCACCACTGAAGGCCTCCGTGGGCAGGCTGAGGGTGCCGGAGTGCCGACCAGTGGCGAAAGGCATGCAGAGCAGCTGGGTGGCCTGAGCCGATGAGAAAAGAGTGGAAACTATACTCCAGGCGCTGCAGATTTGGCCCGCCTTCCCCCCACCCTCAATTCCTCGTACAATTAAATTAGAAAATAACACTTAGGCAGTTGCCGTCTTTTTCCACTAGCCACTGCTGACTCATTCTCTCCTTTCATCCGTTCTTTCTGCTCATAACTCGTTCACACACTGACTGGATCTTTCTAAGTACCCACTCAGGTGAGTTCTTATGTCCTCCAGGATGCATTAACAGTAATGGGTGAGTATCCAATACAAGAGCTGCTAACGATTTGATTTTTCTGAGTGAGAACAATCGAGAGTAAAAGTGGGCGATGTGCAGGCGTCCTTTAAAGCACATCAGCAACCAATTCTGTTGTAATTGATGAGCCAATAACAGATAATCAATCAGCAGCCGTTTGGATAATTGATGATTTTCTGGAAACAATTGAGAACATCTGATAGCCCCAGTGTCTCAAATGTGAGAAAGAAGTCTTTTCTTTCTTTTACTCTGAAGTTAGTTCAATATTTTATCAGTTTGTTCTCACCCGTCATGGAATTACAAAGTTCTACAACTTCACAAATAAACCGAACACTTGCACCTGCACGTTCATGATGCACATGGGATTGTGTCCAGTGACCTACAACGTCTGTTTCAGTTTGCTGTGAAGGACAGGTGATAAGCAAGGACTGTATTGGAGTTGCCAAAAACATGCATACAAGCATGTGAGGGCCTAACAAACTACTGAGTACTACTTTGAGTTGCTGCAATTAAATTTTATCAAAATGGACTAACCTACCTCATTATTTGTTCATTTTGATTTTTGATGTGTCTTTTCATTTCCTTTAAATGATGTGGCATCTTCTAATTCCTAACACATTATTGAATCCACATCAGTAAGAATATCCATCATGAGTTGCTTGCTTCACTGAAATCTGATTTTTATTTTTTTTTAAATTTTGGGAGCAGTGTATGCATCTTATATTAGACCTTGGTGCAGCTATCCAAATTTGTTTCTGTCTTGTCTGTTTAAGCTCCTTTCCCTGTGTGGCCACCTTCTGTTTAAGCTTTCTTCTTTTTGATTGGTTGAGACTCAGAAACAGAAGGTTTGGTAGGTAATGGGAGGGGCTTCTGTGCTCATAACCAGAGCTGTGTGCCTTAGATCAGCAGTCCCCAACCTTTTTTGCACCACGGACCGGTTTATGCCCGACAATATTTTCATGGACCGGCCTTTAAGGTGTCGCGGATAAATACAACAAAATGAAACTAGTACCGGTACAGAAAAAAAGAAGATTTATTCATAACACACGTGAAAAGACTCAGGAAAACTGAGTTAATGAAAAAACGATAACAAAATAACGCTGAAAACCGATAAAAACCCTGAAAACCATACATTTCACACCTGAGCCTCAACTCTCGCGGCCCGGTACCAAACGACTCACGGACCGGTACCGGTCCGAGGCCCGGGGGTTGGGGACCGCTGCCTTAGATGACTATGTTTGATCTCAGTGACATCATAGAGGACCACAAGTAAAGAAAAATATTTCGGGAACTGAACGTTTAGAGCAGTCTGAAATCTTTTTGCCTCACAAAGATCACATGTATTTATGTGTCCCTCATGATTGTCAAGTTTAGCCATGTTTAATGTCAGCATATGGCAGAAAATAAGGAAACATATAACAGGTCTCCTTTAAGTAAATATATAAGTAAGTGATATTAAAGAATGACTTTTAAGCTGACCTAGTGTCTTTCCATGAACAAACTTATATAATAATGTAACAAACTTCCTTCCCTTTGTAACCAGCAAACTGCATTCATCCTCACCTGTAAGAAATGAGCATTATCCTCAGACTGCAGCAGCTGGCTGATCTCCTCGTCTCGCCTCCTCAGCTCCTCCAGGTCCTTCTCCATCAGCTCTATGTCACTTTCAGCTCTCACCACGATTGCGCGCTCTTTCGCTTCCAGCCTCGCTCGGGCCTACAGCACACAAGCAGAAGATTTAATTCCCTTACAAAACTGTGAACGTTTCACATTATTCTCCTCAGAGCTGCTACTGTTGCAAATACTGGCAATATTAGAACTTATGCTTCTAGCTGTTGCTACTCACCTCCGCCTTGGTTTTCTCCAGGCATAGTGCCATATCAGCAAACAGAGCCTCACCATCCTCCAGAACAGCAGACGCCGACAACTAAAAGACGCACATTAGAGTAGAACAGAGCATGTATTTAAAGATGGCATAAAGCAGAGAATGCAATCTTCTGGAAAACTCTTTGATGGCATCCTCAACAGCCTTATGATATATTAACAGACATATCTTCATGACATACTTCAAAAAGAAACCCATGTCATTTCGAATGGCCTCACTCTCTACATTAGGAGTGAGAAAAATTCTTATTTCACAGTGTTTAAGACATGCTTATTGTAGTTTCATCCAGGCATACAAACTTTCTTACAATGAACACAATTATATGGGTAATTAACAAGCAGAAAACTTTGGTGACGAAAAATTACGCCAAAAAAACAAATGAGGCTTTGTCCAAGAGTGGATCCACTGAGACTCCCATGTTAAAATATCCACCTTTAGCAGTGACACTGACAGGTCTATGGCCTAGTGCAAACACTTTATTTAACATCTATATCAATTTCACCTTTACTATAACTGTATGGTAAGTGAATTTTTGTGTTACTCACTTGTTTGGAATTTTTTAGGGCGTACTAAGGCGAGGTAGCTTTGACTGATGGCACGCCCAGAAGAAGCTAGCAGCCACCAGTTAGGCGTCACCTTTGGTAATTTGAAAATAGACCTCGTCTATTTTAGTGTTGGTGTCTCCCTGAGTGCTTGGGCATGGTGAGTAAAATTACAGTGTTTTATTAGTCTGTTATTTGGCATCAATTAACATTTATTTGTGACTGTGCATGAAATATGCACGATTTATGGATGCAGTGTGCTAGCATTACTTAGTTCACCCATTATAGTAACTTTTATATCTAATGTTGAGGCTTCATAATGTGGAAATCACAAACCAACAGGTTTGTTATGGACATAAGGTGGCCATCATTGCCCAGCTGTGGTTAGGTCCATCTTTTATACACAGTTTGTAGTATGTAGCCACATATTACACTCGCAGAGCATTGTGGCACTGCACATCAACCCACAAACCACCAACAGTGAAGCCTGGTGGTAGGAACATCATGGTGCGGGGCTGTTTTTCAACATAAGACACTGGCAGACTTCATATAACTGAAGGAAGGATAAATGGAGCAATGTACAGAGACAAGAATCTGCTGCCATCAACCAGGATGCTGAAGATGAAATGATGGTGGACGTTTAAGATCAGAAGACAGCTTGTGTGGAAGAATGGACCAAAATCACATCGGAGCAATGCAGTTTTTCTGTACCGGAGGTATCTTGAAGGTGTCATTAGCTACAAAGACTTTTTTAGCAAGTATAAAATACATTTCAGTTAGCATGTTCAATTCTTATTCCCTGTGTCATATCACTTTATTACACAATACTCAATTTATGGACTTATGGTGAAAATGTTATCCCAATATATTCACTGCAAAAAATGTTGACCAATTCAGCACTTTAAAGAGAATATTACACTTTATATTTGTTAAATTACAAAACTACATTGTGGATATGTGGGAAGTTCAGATTTCAACCTTTTGGGACAGAACGGAAGCTTTTCCCATTTAGTTCTTTGTAGGTTTTATGAGTAAAAATACACTAAATATAAACATTTAACATCCTGCACGTTTAAGTAGATCCATTACCATTTAAATTATTATTTTTAAAAATTAAAATTAAAATTAAAAATATTTTTTAATTTGCTAATATAACAGGCAAACTAACCAGAATCACACGATTACAATTTCAACCTCCAGAGCAACAAGCCAAGATGGCAGGGTATCTGTCTGAGGTTACTGTGAGCGGATAGAGTGACTTCCCAAGAGTGGATGGAAGGAGACGATGCTCGGGGGAGGGAGGAGAAATAGCTTTCCTGGAAGTCTGAAAGGGTGTTAGAGAAACTAGAATACAAATTGGCACTGTACTTGGAACTAACACGATCCCCGGAGGGCAGGATGTTGGTGTGCAGGGGAAAAATTTGCGTGAGTCTTGCCTACATTGCATAATAACAATAACAACATGCAACTTAACTATGATAACCTGAGAGAAAATCAAAAACAGTTAAAATATCATTTGACTAATTTAAAAGCGAGCGTATGCATGTATTTTTTTTTACAGCTGTAAATAACTTAACGTTAAAACAAAAGAGTTGGTCAGTCACAGTGAACTCAAAATATACAACTGATATA